CTGCACTAGCGTCAACGACAAAAAAGCGTTCATCCATAATTTTCACAACTGCAAACCAACGTCAACAGCGACGGAAGTCAATCTGAAGTTAAGTCACCGATGTTACTTAACAGATTTATCCTAAAGTTCAAGAAAACGGACATCGGCACCAGTTTGCCAGTTTGCAGATGACATAACAGGCGCCGCTGGTTTCATTCTCAACCGTATCAACTGATACTGCATTTCAGTCGAAACCATGAGAAAACAGTTAAGGATACCAAACTGATAACATCTGCTGAAGCAGGTATCCGATAAGAAAGTCTTTCCTCACGCAAGAAAGATCTCAATGCAATAAAGCTTTCTACTAAATAATACACTCTGAATGGTTTCGCAAGAACCAGTTCGAACATTGATTAAAAGTATGCAATTACGTTTACGAACCTGCTGTGGTCTCCACAGCTTCCTTATTCAAAATTGAACGCCCATTTGAAGGGATCATTTAAAGAATAGTAGAATTTCTTTCAACGCCAATCCGTACGATGCTGATTCGGTAAAATGCGTGCTCTCAGACCAGCTTTTATTTTGTTCACAAGGTTTAGCGGCACACAAAGTCAAGAACATATCAACGGACCATCGCCAGATATCATATTTAAAATTCTGTCATACGATGCATGAATTACGCCGCTGAATGTTTACTTGCGCGGCTGTCGGGCATGGTTCATCTTGTTTGTGCAGGGGAGCACTAAGATAGTATTCTCAAAACCTTTCTCGCTTGGGAACCGTGCACTAGCCAAAGACTCGTTGAAGCACAATACAAAACGTGGAAATATCACTGAGGCCGACATGCGTGCGAAGACTATGAACTTTACCTTAGGAGTGAACGCTGCCTAGTATCAGTCTAAAGTACCGTTTCTAATGGTCAGACATCATCATTATTCTGCTATTTAATTCTACTAGCTTCAGATGACGTCAACAAAACAACAACAAGATATCTATTAGCTCTGTATATGTGAATAGTGGCCTGTTTGAATTTTTGAGAATCTCTTATCCATAATCACTGACAAAAGAGGAGCAAATAACACTGTGAAATGTTCCAAGAAAAAGACAATGAAATCTATCACACTGGAAGTTAAGATGCAAGCAGTGAAGTTGCTAGAATCAGGTAAGGGTGAAGTGAATAAGGTCCATGCTACAGGTTCATCTACGTCAGACATCAAAACGACCATAGGGAATTTTGAGAATATCAGACATGTGCTAAGTCCACTACAGCATTAATTTCAAGGAAACTAATGTGTTAGAGAAGTAATTTTTCGGAGAAAACGGAGAGACTCTTAACCATTTGGATTTAAGAACAAAATCAGCGCAATATGCCTTTGAGCCAATTAATCATCATGCAAAAGGCATAAAGTACATAGAACGATCTTCAAGGAGACAAATCAGAAGCGGTAAGATTTGGAGCGGGTTATTGGTGCTTTGACTCGATTTAAGTGCTGAAAAAATTTGCATAACATAAAGTGTGTAGTAAGCAATTACCTAGTAGCATGTGCATTTTATACCACACTCAAACCAATCATCAAGTGCATCAGTTATTATCCTGAACTTGTATTCAATGTGGATAAAATCCTTCCTAACGGGAAAAGAATGTCACAATCGGAAGAGCACGGAGGGATTTAACGCAGCAAAAAACCGAATCACGCGTATGCTGCGAGATGATGCTTCATAATACTCGCGTATCTACACTGGCAAAGAGCTCGAGCAACAAGGGAGTATTCCAAAGTGCATGTACTCGTTTTCTAGAGGTCGTATCCACAAGCATGATCAAAGACATCAACGCAAAAAAGAGATATTTCAAGACAGGCATATGTCAGTTTCTTGTGCGCAAGTGAGACATTACCGTAACGCTAATAACTTGAAACCCAGAAGGTTATTAATGTTCGACAATGCTCCTGGAAAATCAGGCATCTTGAATACCATATCAGTGGAAGTGGTGTTCCTTCCGACAAGCATGATTTCTCTTATTCAAACGATGAACCAGCAATTTCAAGCTCTGTTATTTGTGACATTATTAAGGAATTGAATAGAACTGAGTGTGGTAACTCATGCCAAATATCAACTCTCAGTTTCAGACCTGGAAATCGTTCAACATTAGAACGCTATAAGGAGTACCAGCTCAGCCTGGAGCAAAGTGTTTTATAACTGCATGCAAAACGGATGGATACACGTACGACCCGGGTCTTGTCAAAATTCCAGTGATTTAAAAGAAACTGGAACTGAAACTTCCAGTGACATTGTCGATCTTGTCAATATACTAAGAATGGTTGAACATGGTGTTGAAAATGTGCAAGACCTACGAGAATTTTATGAGGCAGTACAAGAAAGAAGATTGTTACACTAATGTTTTGAAAACAAATAAGTATTTACGATTTCAGGAACCTACTGCCATAAGAACTGTGCAAAGCCAAATGAACGTAATGCTGATCAACATAATGATTCGGATAGACCGCTCCTTTCCAGAATCTATCCGCCACGTTAAAAAGAGCATGACAGCATCCGTTAATTATACTACGTATGTGAGCCGTACAACAATTAAAATTATCTTCGATCAGCGAATAACATTTTACAAACTTCCCACTTACTGTGTGAATAATTATTCCACTGGAATGTCGAAAACCTCTAAAGCCAGATTCAACTGTCATACAGCATTTGTGTACATCAAAGTGTACAAAAATTCTGACCAACTCCTGGGTACGGATCCCGTAGGATGCTAGTGCATTTCGCACTTCAATCGTAGAAGCTAAGCACTATACAAGCGACAGTTTCATTGCTTAACATCGAAGCTCCAGCGAAAGGGCTTGATTTTTTCTGCAGTACCGCAGTTTTATCGACATTTATCAACTTTCAGGCTTATGTCGTGCTTTTTTTGTTCCGTAAGACAACCTGATAAGTTGAAACAGTCAAGAAAACGATTCCGTCATAGACTGAACAGAATAATGCTGACTAATTTTTCCATTATGTTTACCTGACAGGTGACAGGATTTGACTACACTTGTTATTCCTTGATGGGTTTAAGACAACTGCAATGCTTCAGAGAGGAAAAGAAGGAGATTCAGCTATATCACTGCTACTCGTAACTGTCATCGTGATCGACAGCTAGCGAAGCCAGAACACGAAATCACTCATGTTGGTAGTTTGACTAATATGCAAAAGTGCACCAGATTTATAAGACGGGTCGCTCACTGATGCAACAAAGGTTATATTCCTCGTCGCAATGAGACGTGCTACGTATCATCCCCAAAACATCTCTGGCCTACTGCTAATGATTAAAAATCGGCAAACAAATTGGCAACCTTAGCTGCTGCAGTCATTATGTAAGAAACATTAAAGGCTGAAGTCAATTTAGTCCATATATTTTATTGCATCAGCTGCAAATAAGCGTCACTAGAAACCGCAGTTTAAACTAGAACGTAAAGATTCTTATTCAATATCTATACTGAAGACCTGTCAAAGTTTAGCACTACAGGTTAAAATACTACCACTTATAAACTCCATTTCAGAACTGTCATGAACAGCCAAAGTAGAATGAGGATGATCAGTGTGTAGGCGCAGGATTCCGAATTGAGAAGTCTCAAGTTCGAGAGTCGATCATGTCACTTCACTCACCTTTCTTCTTTCTGAAGCAAATGAATGATTACCATTAAGTGGAAAGGAAACAGGAGAATACACACCATGTATGCCTTATGGCTGTAGATTGCGCCTTTAGAATAAGGAATTCCTGACTGATGGCATAGAAGCAGAGATTAGCAGAGCTCACCAAAAACTTTTCGCTTGTACTTCCGTCTTGTATTTACAGGCACAAGGCAAAAATGAAAATGCTGGCAATCTATTGTTCGTAGCGTTGCACGGTCAACCTGATCTGTCTGTTATTTTGCGTTTGTGCGGCTGGG